TTGCCCTTTTGGGGATAGAATGTTCTATGGAGCTCCCCTCATGTGTCCCCTATCTAAGAATAAATAATTCCAGTGGCCAGCTCTCTTTCCACAGACCCTTAAGGTCGGAGAGCCATCATGGATTTTGAAAAGATACGTCTGTGTGTTTGCATGCTTTCTTTGTTATTTTCTTAAGTTATTGGAATAGTCAGATTTTGTAAACTCAGCGTTAGGTCACCAGCTAGGATAGATGGCGATAAATAACCACATGAAAGCCTGAGAAAATATGACGCCATTTATAATAAGAAATTCAGTATGTAGTAGTCAAAATAAACTCCTTTAAGCTGAAAAAAAAGGCATCTATAAAAAAAATATCCTATTTGATGAGAGACTGAATGTTTGCTCCTCAGATCTAGGAGCACTAGAAGGTCCTGTGGAAAAACCAACTCAAGACCCTCTAAGACCCTCTTTCTAGAGTTAGCCCTGATAAAGTCATGTGTCTCGCATTGCTTAAATTCCAGTGGGCAATTAAATATTAAATAAGCCTGATGTGTCAGGCTTTTATACAAATAGAAAGAGGAAAAAATATAGCCCAGAATGAAGAATGTAAAACACTGTGCCTGTCAAGCCCACACGTATCCCACTTTCTCCAGCCCCTGGGACATCCTTCATAGAAAGGAAGGCATAGAAGACAGGTGTAGGTGTTCTGACTGTGGAAATGTACAGGGAAGTGTTCCTCTGGTGAGCAAACTCCCATGGGGTGAGGGAGTGAGGGTGGCAGGGTAACTGGCACTCTGTTTCCCACACTTGGAATGCTTGGCAGTTTCTTCTTGAAGCTAGTAAGATAACTAATATAGGTGCAGTATCTACTTGCTATGGTACTGTCTGTCCTTCAAGAAGAGGCTCTGTGTCTTATCAGCCTAGGCTTTGATCTCATATATTCAACACCTGGGTTTAAAGAAATACTAAATAATAATGCAGTCATGGCACTAATGGCCTAATGTAACTTTTTGATATAAATAAACATGGCTGCTTGGGGGGGGGGCATTCTTTTCCTGTCTCTGCATATTGTCTCTGCGTCTCCTTTTATTTTCCTTACAGACAGGCAAACTCTCCTGTTTTTAATTATAGAAATCGTTTCCCTGTATTAATTCCAAAATTGTCCCCCCAGGAAGTTTAATAGGATTTTTAAAATTCACACAAAAATACCCCAAACAAACACAAAAACAGTAATCGCTTAGGCTTAGGGATCCATTCATTCAAGAGACTTGGTTGAATATTTACATGGTACTCTGTGAAGGACTGTGAAACACAGTCGTGGTCCCCCTCATAAGGAGCTAACAGTCTAGTGGTGAGTACAGATTTTAAACTAATAAATACAGAACATTAAATACCCAAGAAATTGAGGTAAGAGGATAGCTCTGATCTAGGAAGGGCTATATCACACTGCATCATTAGAACTCCTTAATGTGTCTCAACCATATTTCTGTTTATCAGAAGAAAAGGAATACAAATCGGGAGGGGAGAGAGAGAGAATATGAGAGAGAACCTACCAATCTATCCAAACACAACTTTAATAATATATCATTCACTCAACATCCCTGCCTGGTTGAGTACACCACGTACATGAAAGAAATTGTGAAAGCAATGAGTTCCATCTACTGGCTATCCTTTTTTTTTTTTTTTTTTTTTAATCTTTCTTTGCAAAATCTACCATTCCTTTATATTACCCATGAGTTTGTTCAAACTTACTCCAGATCTCCCCCATTAGACTACAAGTCCCAGGAGGCAGGAAGGGTGTTTTGTTTTGTTTTAATCACAGCATCAACATAGTCTAAAAAGGCACCAGGCACATAGTAAACACTTCATACAAATAAATGCTTTTTAACTAATGAATATCTCCTATACACGGTTATATAATCCCAAATCCATTCCTAATGCTTATTTCTGAAAGTTTGCCATTTGATTATAAAACATCATATTGAGTATTTCAGGAAGTTGATAATAACTTACATTGTCTTTTCCTCTCTCTCTAATCCCCAGAAAACTTTCATCATTATCCCCTCTTTAAGGACCTAAAGAAGCTGGTGTTGACTTATACTCCTGACACTGCTTTAGGGATCTACCTAGCATGAAGCATATAGCAATAATTTTGTTCCATCAGTAATGCAAAAAGGACACTGCTCACTCTGACAAATTGAGGGAGCAAAAGAGAAGTCCCCATAGAAACTCTCCAGGAGTTTCTGTAGTTTGCAAACCTACAGAAGCCTGTGAGAGAGACCTCAGGGAGCTAAGAGCTCCATTATGAATGTGGACCAGGAAGTCCAGAAGCAGTCATACTGAGAAAGAAACCTGATACTTTCCTTAGAAGAACAATTGTACCAGGTTCTAACCCCACAATGCTCACCTATGTGTTGACATTTTCTGACACTATTAGCCAGAAGCTCTACACCTAGAGTTTTTGCCAAGGACACTTTGTACAATTATAGTTTACATATAGGGCCCATATTTTGAATGCCATTTTCCTACCAAACTGTTTTTCCCTTTTAAAAAATTGTTCTAAGACTACAAAGACAAACTAACTGATTGGTTCAAATAACAAATGCTAATCATTAAGTTGCTATAAATCTACCCTAACATATATATGGATAAACAAACAGATACTGAATAGACCTTACTTACCCTAACCAGAATTTCTTTTTTTTTTAATATTTTTTAGTTGTAGTTGGACACAATACCTTTATTTTGTTATTTTATTTTTATGTGGTATTGAGGATTGAACCCAGGGCCTTGCACGTGCTAGATGAGTGCTCTACTGCTGAGCCACAACCCCAGCTCCCCCTGACCAGAATTTCTATGGGGAAATCTACTGAGGTTTTGAAACATTTAAACTAATGTTTATATAGCTATTATTTCCTGGCTATATAAAAGCATTAATTTAATATTCTAACACACACACAAATACTTTCACTTAAATTACTTACATAAGGTGAAAATCAAATATAATTTTTTGGTGGTCTATAACATTTAGATATTCAAATGCAAAAATAAAAATTAACTTTGAAAAAAGAACTCACAACTTAAACTAAAATTAAACCAATATAAATTTAAACATAATTCCTTAGGGAATGTTTTACTTAGCTTTTTAGCCATTGGGGCCAAAAAGATCTGAGAGGAACAATTAGAGGAATAAAAGTTTATTGTGGGTCTCCTGGTTTCAGAGGTCTCAGTTCATAGATGGCCTGAGATGAGGTAGAACACCATGGCCCAAGTGTGTGGAGGAAGAAAACAGTTGGGGACATGGCCCCAGGAAGTAGAGACTTCACAAAAATACATCCCCCAAAGGCAAGTCACCAATGACCTACCTCCTCCTGCCATTCCCTGCTTGCCTACTGCTACTGCCCAGTTAATCCTTATCCAGATCAATTCACCAATTGGGTTAAAGGGCTCACAACCCATTTCACCTCTAAACCTTCTTGCATTGTCTCACGGGTGAACTTTTGGTGGACACCTAATATTTAAACCATACCAGGGATGAAAGGTGGAAACTGCTCTAGTTTGCCTGGGCTGACCTGGAACTTGCCATCCTTCTGCTTCAGCCGCCAAAGTCCCTGGGATTCCAGGCATGTGCCAAAAAATTACTAAAAGCAGTTTTAACTGTCTTTAGAGACAGTTTAACAGACAGCCTGTTTTAACTGTCTTTCTAGAACGGGTCTCTCTTAGCCCTATTCTAGGGTTATGAGGTAAAGGAAAAGGTAGGTTTGCCTGCCTCATTCTTTGAGCCAGAAGTCACAGATACCCCCTGAGAAGCATTTCCAGATAATGAGGCTTGCTAAAATCTTTTATTTTGTTCTCAAGGGAACTGAACAACCTAATGTTGTTGGGCACTTGCCACGGTGTTTCTGGTGAAACAGAGCAATCTCAACAGAATACCAACATCGGATAAAGTCATTCTGTGACCAGGATAAAGTGACAACAAGCAAGATCATTTTTATAATCTTACCTAAACACAGGAAAAAAAAAATCATTGTGCCATCTACAGGACATTCCTTCCAACAAAGATTATTGTCGCTCTTTCCTCTAGGCCTAAATAACAATGCTGATGCTACCCCCTCTATCATCTAGACTTCTTACAATTGAAGAGAAAGATAGCCTGGGCGTTGTGGCACATGCCTGGAATCCCAGGGACTTTGGCGGCTGAAGCAGAAGGATGCCAAGTTCCAGGTCAGCCCAGGCAACTTAGTGAGACCCTGTTTCAAAATGAAAAATAAAAAGGTCTGGGGATGTTGCTCAGTGGTAAAGCACCCCTCTCTTCAATCCCCAGTACTGAAAGAAAAATAAGTATATGCATATACATGAAAGAAAATCTAAACATGCAACTTGAAACTTCACAGAAACTCACCTTTCGCTAGCATTGCCCACCCCAAAGAAGTGACCCATGACGTTCTTTCCTTTTTTCCTAGTCCATTTTCGTTCTTAATTTTTTCAAGAGTCGTATATCTGCCTCCTTAAGTGTCCTTCTTTATTCTCAGTTCTTTGATGAAACTCATTTTATTGTTCAAAAAGGTAAAGTTCCTAGTCCCTCATCCCATCGCAGATGACAAACACCTCTACATCTCCAACCCTTTTTCTCACATTCTTCAGGCTCGTTTTTCTCTCGGCACTTTCCAAACCTAAATCCACTCTGTGACCAAGTTGTGGAGGCAGGAGCCAACCCTCCTTCTAAACCAGCCTTTGTCTTCAGCCCTGCGCAATCGGTCCTGGTCTGTAGCCCTCCCTCATCAGTCACACATATCCAATCCGAGCACTGGGCCTTTGGCATTCCTTATCCAATCTTCTCGCGTACCCCAGTCCACGCCCCCACCCCGCCCCCTAACTCGGGTCCCTTGCCTCGTGGCCCGATTCCGGAGCCGGGCGGATCTCGCAGCCAATCTGTACCTTCAGTCCAGACCCCGGAGCCAATCCCGGGCCACATCCAGGCCCGCCTCCGGCCCGCCCCCGCTCTCCCGGTAGCTCCGCAACCTCCACCCCCCATCTTGAGCAATCCGGAGACTCTAGTGCGGGATCCGCCAACCTCGCAGCCAATCCGGGACCCGAGTTTATCCCTCCTGCCTCCTCCCTGACGTTCAAATCGTTTCCAATATCCCTCACTCCGCTGCGGGATTGGAGCCCGGGGAAGCAAGGTAAGTGTGCTGGATGCGGCCACGCGGTGCACGGTGGCGTGGCGGTACCGGCTTGCAGAGGGCAGGGTAGGAGCTGGATGTCCATCTGACTTGAACTCTCCCTGTAGAACTGAGGCACCAGCGGGCGACTGGACCCTGGGCCCGGATTTGGCTGACTGCCAGGGCGGCCTCAGAGGGTCCGCCCTGGGATTAACCCTTTTCTCTAGAGAAGGAATAATGCCAAGATGAGTGACCTCGCAGTGTGGGTACCCCTGGACCCAGCCAACGTCTTGAACCTTTTACCCTTGATTTTGCCATTCGGGCATTTGGAAAAGCAGTCTGGAAGTACAACACTGACTCCAATTCATTCTTAACCGAATTCTAAAATTTTGAAAAGGGAAACAAAGGCCGTTAACTTGCTACATAAGTGAATCTTAGTGAAATCCAGAGTTTTTAAAGGAGAAAAGCAGACGACCAATCTTGTTGCTTCTGGGGTCCGAACAGTTCTAGAGTTCTGAACCTCTGACTATTGCAAAAACACCTGCCTCCCACCCGCGGACTCCTAGGCTAAGAGAGAATTGGGACATCTTGCTCACTGTTTAGATAATTTTACCTAATGTCTAAAACCTGATGCTTGCTAACTTTCACCAGTCAGTCATGCTTTTTACCTTTGGAGAACTTCATAATTATACGAATCCCACTTCATATAACAGCATTTCAGCAATTTCTGCATGATGCCCCTTAAATCTGTGCCAATTAGCTTTAAATTAAAGTCCAACTCTTGCTCTAATGACACGGCTTTGAGACTTCTTTCCACTGTACTTCCCCAGCCAGCACCTTGTTCAACCTCTGCAGCACCTTGGTCACCCTCTGTCGCAATCAGTAAGCCTTATAAGCATTTTAGAAGCAGACTAACAGGTAGAGCATGAAGTAAAAACAATCTCTCTTGGCCAGACTTTTGTTAACATTCTGTATTGTGCTTTAACACTAGTCCTTTCTGCGGTTGCCTCTTGTTACTATTCCTTGAGGTTGTAGTTAGCCTGAACATTTTGGACTTGGTCAAATTAACTAAGTTTCTTCCTTCCTACCCCATATGCAGTTATAATGTCATAATGTGAATTTAAATCCGGAGCATTAACAACTTTTTTCAAATTCATTTTGATTGTTTGCCTCTTTGAGCTTTGGATCTGCACCAGCAGTTCACCAGCCTTTTCAGCTTCAGATCACCTCCAAATCTACACCTTCTGCCTTTAAACAGTCTATTCCAGTGATAATAAATTGACTGTTTGACTTTTCTACTGACCATGTGTATTCGAAGGTGCAGTTTACCTTATGTACAATACATCATAGTAAGGTTGACTAGATTAGAACAAATAAATAAATAAAATAAATTTTTTAAAAAAGATTGACTCGATCACTCTGATTCACATTTGCCTTGTTTTCTTCATAGAATATTGTTTTGGGGGAGAAACTAGAAAAATGAACTGAAAATATTACTAAGAATTAGACGTCAGATGCCTTTTGATTTTTTTTCTGACTTTTGATGACATTCAAATTTGTTTATTTTGCTTATTGGAGACTAGATAGATAGCAAAATAAGCTAATATATTATATATGTATATATAATATATATATATAATATATATATATTATATATATATGTACACATGCACATATGTGTGTATGTATATATACATATTATATATATCACATATATATGTATGTGTGTGTATGTATGTGTGTATATATATATATATATATATATATATATATATATATATTTAGTATAAAAGTATAGCCTATAAAATATAGTAGAAATGCTGGAAAGTGTTGAGGGCCAATTTGAGACTGATGACCATATGAATTTGTGGTGTAACCAGAAAATCTATCCATGAGGTTTTCTTCAGCAGTCCACAGCTGAATGGATTATGGGAAAACAGACACTGGTTGAGTTCAAACAGTGCTAGGTTTTTACAAACATGAACGAAAACCAAAAGGACTTAGAGCATTATCAAGAGCCCTGTTGATGTGGAGAAATTGTCATGTAAACTGAGAAATAAAGGAAGGTGAGGCTGATTGGAAAAAAGGAGAGGAAACTTCCTGAAGATGTTGGTGATAGTGAAGAATACTGAAAGTTGGAATAATTAGGCAAGTTGAAGGATGAGTAGTTTATGGTTGTTATGGTTTAGATGTGAGGTATCCCCCAAAAGCTCACATGAAACAATGCAAGAAGGTGTAGAGAATAAATGATTGGGTTATGAGAGCCTTACCCCAGTCAGTGAATCAATCCCCTCATAGGGATTAACTGAGTGGTAACTGAAGGCAGGTAGGGTGTGGCTGGAGGAGGTGAGCATTGGGGGGGCATGGCTTTGGGGTATTTATTTTGTATCTGGCGAGTAGAGTCTCTCTCTCTCTCTCTCTCTCTCTCTCTGATATCTGATCATCATGTGAGCTGCTTCCTTCTACCATACTCTTCTGCCATGATGTTCAGCCTAACCTAGAACCCGGAGGAATGCAGCCAGCTGCTTTGGACTGAGATCTCTGAAATTTTGAGCCACAAAATAAACTTTTCCTCCCCTAAAATTGTCCTAGTCACAGCAGCAAAAAGGCTGACTAAAACAATGGTTGAGGAGAAAAATACTTCAATTAATTATTTTAAAATTAAATGTATTGGGGTGGCAAGGTACAGAGTATGGTTGTAGGAACGAGTGACCAAAGTGGAACAGAGGACAAGACCAACAGACAAGGGGAGTGTCAGTTGTTTAATGGGTCATCTCTGAAGGCATTAGAATTACCTAGAATAATCACAGTTCTTGGGGTTGAGAAGAAAACGGTTGCTTAAAGACATCTCCTAATGAATGATAGGAAGTTATCAGCAGGTCAGGAGATAACATTAGTGAAGCCATCCAGAGAATGGTGTCAATGGCCAAACAGCAGGAAAGAGGTAGTTGACTATGGTTAATATGAATGTTTTATAAAATTGAAAATTGCTAAGAGTAGACTTTAGGTATTCTTGTTATAAAGAACTAGTAAGTTCTTGTTTAATGGGTCATCTCTGAAGGCATTAGAATTAATAGTGAGATAATGAGAAAGAAAAAAAGTACATAGAGCCTATAAAAAAGCAATGCTGAGAACATAGACTTGGTGTTTTGGGGAAACAATAAAATTCGAGTTAAAGCAAAGAGGTGGAATACTCTAAGAACAAAAATACAATTGAATATGCTGATTATGGTTCAGCTGTTCCAAATATACAGTGAAAGGTTTGGAAAGTGAAAGAAAATGAAGAGACAGATCAGTTAAGCAAGGGGTACATCAGATTATGGAGGTGATGTGCTGTAGAAGAGTAAGGGAGAGGGATGCAGGGTTTTGGCTTTGAAATTTCTAGATTAAAACAGATAGATGGAGTGGCAACTTCCTAAGATGGTTACTGAGACCTGTAGGTTCAAGGGCATGGTGCACCCTACCTGGGGGGAAATCTCATCTTTTGAGCAGCAGCCTGAACCCACAGGTGACCAACCAGTGTGACTTAACAGTATCTTCTGAGATTACCTTTGAGCCAGGGATTCATTGATTGATCTGTTTGGGGGAAAAAATAGATAAATAACATCAGTGAGGTAGAAGATTGATTTATTTAGCTATTTTGAAGAGGGGAAAAGAATATGAAAAACAGACATCAGGTTCAGCAAGTCAGCGACTTGTGCAGGGACAGAAACTTTTTTTTTAGAGAAAGAGAGAGAATTTTTTAGTTTTTGGTGGACACAACATCTTTATGTGGTGTTGAGGATCGAACCCAGCACTCCGCTCATGCCAGGTGAGCATGTTACCGCTTGAGCCACATCCCCAGCCCAAGACAGAAACCTTTTTTGAATAGAAGTTGTCCCAATAATCTCAGTCCTTTTCTCTCCTTTGTTTATCTCAAGAAGTTAAAACATTTTTCTCTCATTTTTCTACTTGCAAGAAAATATTTTGTTTATACTTTGTTTAAATACCAAAGAAATCAGGCTGAACTCAGATGGGAATTTATTTGCTGAAAAAAATTATTGTCCTAAAATTAATCTTATACTGATGATTGTTCAACATAGTTCCTGTTTTTTGGTAATATCTTTCCTTAAAGCTAACTGTACAGTCTAGTCCAATTAATATCTTTTTCCATGCCTGTAATCCCAGATTCTCTGGAGGCTGAGGTAAGAGGATGTAAATTCAAGACCACTCTTGACAATTTAGCAAGAACCTGTCTCAAAATTAGTTTCGTTTTCTTTTGGTACCAGAGATTGAAGCCAGGAGCACTTTTCTACTGAGCCACATTCCCAGCCCTTTTTATTTTTTATTTTAAGACAGAGTCTCACTAAATTGCTGAGGCTAACTTTGAACTTGCAATTCTCCTGTCTCAGCATCCCAAGTGGCTTGGCACCATGGTGCCTAGCTCAAACTACAATTTTAAAAGGGCTGGGGATGTAGCTCAGTGGTACAGCACTTGTCTAGCATGTACCACACACACACACAAAATATTTTTAACTTTTTTCCAAACAGCTAGTGTCACAAGAATAATCATGTCTAGATTCATGAAACCTTGCCTTAGTCTTGAAGGACATAAAATGTAATGGGCAACTGTTTACAAAAAGGTAATATTTCAAAAATAATTTTCTCATAAATAGCTACATTATATCATTGATTTTCAATGTAATTTCACAGGTTAATTTAATCATCCAGCAATTATTTAGTTGAATGCATAGTGTGATACATAATAAAGTGGTGAATTTTTTTTTTTTTTTTTTTGTACCCGGGATTGAACCCAAGGGCACTTAGCCACTGAGCCAAATCCCAGCCAGTGTTATTTAAAGACTGGATCTTGCTAAGTTGCTCAGGCTGGCTTTGAACTTGCAATCCTCCTGCCTCAGCCTCCCTCCCCCTCTGCTGGATTATAGGTATGAGCCACCATGTCCTACTCCACAGTGGTGAATTTAACACACCAGGTCCTTCCTGATGGATTTAGTTTATGTTCTAAATTGGTCAGTGAGTAA